TTTTTTTCTTTATTATTACCATTTAAGTTCTTTATCATTTTAATTCTCTCTATATTATATTTCCGACATTTTAATATTACATGTTCAACGGTTTCTATTACCCCACAAAAAGCACATTTACGTGTAATATGTTTACCTATTGTGTATAGTGATGCATTTAGTCCTGTGTGCCCAAATTGTAATCTATTTAAAATCACCTCATCTTTCCTACAGCTTCCAAAACTGTATACTTCTTTAACTGATGAATTCATTTGATAATAAAACCTTCCTGTATCAGCTATGTCCCACTCTTTTTGAATATTTGATTTTATAATTGATTTAATTTCTCCTCTTCCTAATGGGACTTTAATCTCGATATCCTTTTGTTTGGTTGCCTTTTTTGCTAACTTATCTGCCATTTCATTTCCACTGATTCCTGTGTGAGCCGGAGCCCAACAAAATGTGACATCTATTCTCATGCTTTCCAATCTACTCCAATATGCCAGAGATATTTTGTTTCTTCTTATATCTAGTGGTAATTCTTCTGTTGCTATCATTAAGGCATTATTTGGAGTATGTCGAAATGCTCCAGTACATACTCTTAAAGCTTTAGCCTGTATTATATCCAATTTTTTTAGGTTTGTTTTGGCTGCTGCTCTGTATATTATACAACCATAATCAAAAATGGGTCTCAGCATACCTCTATATATATTAATCATTGTTGTTTTATCTGCACCCCATCCACACCCTGATATAGCCCTCATCAAATGTATAACTCTTTTGCTGTTCAGAGTCAGATAATCCGGAGTGAATCATAGAGTCAAATCAGAGCCACACACACACACACACACACACGCACGCGCGCGTGATCCAAACGAAGGCTGTCATCCATGATGATCCGTGCTGTATTAAATGAAGAGGATGCTCAGTCGCATCAGATCATGCCTTTAGTTCACGAGCTTCAGGCCCAGAGACGTTGATTCATTTAATGATTATTATTATTATTATTATTATTATATCACAAAACTGGCATGTTTTAATAAAAACAATAATAATACTTTAAGTATTAATAATGCTTAATACTTTTTATATATTATTATTATTATTACTATTGTTATTATTCTTTTTCTTTCTGTTAATACATATGTGTACTATTTGTAAGCAGTCCAGCTGCAATTGCTTTGGCAATACAAATGTATAATTTTTGTCATGCCAATAAAGCACTCTTAAATTGAAATTAAATTGAGAGGGAGAGAGAGAGAGAGGGAGAGCGAGAGAGAGAGCGAGAGAGAGAGAGTCCTGCTGACTCAGATAAACTCAGTGAAAGCAGCAGCGACTGACAGAGACTCAGGAGACCATGAGGGAGTTTCATTCTGGGTCATTCGGAGCAAAGCTGCACTGCAGGGTCAGAGTTCAAAGGCTAAACGTCGGTCAGAAGAGCCGGTCTGACGCAGATGGACAGACACAGTCATCTCTGGAGGAACGTAAGTCCTGCCTTAAACTCATTAGATCATGACATGAATAATGCTCATTACAGGAATTGTGTAAATCTAGAGTTGTGTTGAGTTCTCATTGTCATGTGACCGGATGAAGGCGGTTGCTATGCCGACGGTGTCGCGAGTGGCGGTTTGCGGCGGTACCCATGGCAACGAGCTTGCAGGCATCTATCTGGTGAGGGAGATGCTGAAGAAGCGGGCGGATGGGACAGAGCCGGTTTCCGTGGTAACGGTGATGTCGAACCCGCGCGCCGCGCAGCTGTGTGTGCGTTACGTGGAGACGGACCTGAACCGCTGCTTCACACGAGCCGCGCTCAGGTGAGACGCGCAGGGAACGAGCGCAGCATATGGGGAACAGGCAGGGTCAAACACCAGCAAAACACAATAACAGAGGCAAGGCAAAAGAGTAACCCAAGAAACAGGAAAGCGGTCAGGGCAGAAAACAGTCTGGGATCAAACCCACATGAACAAGGGAAACCGCTCTTGTTCACAATAGCAAAACAAGACTTCACAATGAGTGTGTGTGTGAGAAACAGCTGTGAGGATAAATAGATCCTGGAAAGGGGATCATGGGAAATGGAGTTTAGGAAGGAATAGTCAGTATGGTAATGGAGCCCTCTGGTGTGAGTGGGAGAAACAACAAGGACCGGATTTATAACTATATTATATTTAAATGAGATATTCCCCAATAATACCACGGGAACCGCTTCACCGTTCACAGCGAGTGTCATGGTGGACGATCAAACCCACTATAATAATATAAATAATACTGTTGTTGTATCATGGAATGTAGTTTTACGTTTTGTTTTTTTTAGGCGGGAATATAGTTGTTTAGACTTCAGATATGTGGTTTGTTAATAAAGACAGACTTGAAACTTTGGTAGATGTGAGCTCCAGGGCGTCAGCGCTCATGATCCCGCAGAGAGCAGCCTCACCTCGGACAGATCTTCTGGAGCCGCTGGCTCTGATGCTTCTATAGTAAAGAGACTTTGAGCAAAACTGTTAAGAGTCTGTGTGTCTGTGTGCAGAGAGAGAGAGAGTAAATCTGTGGTTTCTCTCGAGCTGCAACAGAACAGAGTGCTGGTATTTTATGAGAGCTGCCAGTACACAATAATCTTTCACTGCATGGCAGCACTGTCAGAAAGAGGCAGGTCAGTAAATAGAAACAAAAAATCTTCTGGATTTCAGACCCTAGACCGCTGCCACGGGTTGGTCCTGGAGAAGTGAACAGATGCCTTCTCTTTATTTATGAATTGACAGAGAGGCACACATTCGAGAGCTGTTCTTCTGTATCATCATGACATCTGCAGCAGCTTGTGTCACTGGCCTCGTCTTTGATAGATCTGAGTCAGGAGTGAGACTCACTAAACTTGAGCAAACGAATGTTTGATTCATCTGCCATCTCACAGCACATGCCAGATTCATACATGTCGTGTGTTTCTACTACTCTGCAGTGTTTGACTGCTGCATCGTTGCAGTGTTAGCCTCACTGTAACTGCAGATTGGTGAGCATGTTCTGACTTGTGTTTGTCATTCTGTCTGTCTGTCAGCGCACCCGTCTCCGAGACCTCGCCGTACGAGATGGTCCGCTCTCAGGAGCTCAACGCTCTTCTGGGCCCTAAAGCAAGCATGCAGGCGGTCGACCTGCTGTGTGACCTGCACAACACCACTGCAAACACAGGGCTGTGTCTCATCACATACTCCGACCGCGACTGGATCTGCCTGCACATCTGCAAACACCTGCAGGCACGCACTAACACTAGCTGATCTAGAAAACACGTGCAGTTCCCTTATATGCTTGATATCTGTTATGCTAAAGCATATTTATGTCCAACTTCTGTCAGTATTTGTGTGTTTTCAGAGAGAAATGGCCTCCACTCCTGTCAGATACGTTCACTTTGATATTCCTCTCAATGAAGCCTATTCTCTGGATTCAGTAGGGAAGCATGGATTTGGTGAGACACTTCATCTGAAAGTGTTTGTTGTTCACTCATCCATTCATTTTCCAAACATTGCTAACTGACTAGTTTATCAACATCTGTCTGGCATCACACACTGACAGAAATGAGTCCTGTTGCTCTCTGCAGATTCAGTTATTTTGAAGGAAAATGTTCAGCAGTATTAACGGCTGACGTCATTTAGACATGCTGTTAAACATCGACTCTGCAGTGAAATGCTGATTCAGACACTTCTTGTACAGTTATGCAGCTAATTTATAGATGGACTGTAATGCTTGACTGCGCTGGGGTTTGCTATGAATCATATTCATTAAATAGACTCTAAACATTAAAAACATTTATTCTGAGACGAACATTGCTGAAATGTTGGACATGAAAGCAGTGGCGGCTGCAGCTTATGCTGTTCTCTTATCATCACCAGCCACAGCAAGATTCATGCATGCATCATCTATACAGCAATCCATCACAGCAAAGCCATGCATAAGTGTTTTTTGTTGTTGTTGTTGCTACTCGGCTTTTTAAATTAATATCCCCCATGGATAAGGATGAGTCAAATAAATGAATGCAACATTATCTTTAAAGGTTTAGTTCACCCAAAAATGAAAATTAGCTTGTATTTTACTCACCCTCGAGGCATCCTAGGTGTATATGACTTTCTTCTCTCAGACGAATTCAGTTGGAGTTATATTAAAAATTGTCCTGGCTCTTCCAAGCTCTATCATTGCAAAAAATTGTCCTGGCTATTCCAAGCTCTATCATTGCAGTCAGCGGGTGTTGCAGTTGAACATTCCACAAGTCGTCAAATAAAGCGCACGCATTCATAATAAAACGTGCTTCACACGGCTCCGGGGGGTGAATAAAGGCCTTCTGTAGCGAATCCATGTGTTTTTGTAAGAAAAAAAGCCGGTCACGAATTAGAAGTACAAACCGAGGATTTGTAAAGAAAAATGTCAGAGGGTTTCGATATAAGCCAAGAGGACACTGGTTTTCCTTTGCTAAATTAAAGGCAGAGTAAGTGATTTTTCAAAAACACTTTAGAAAACTGATTCGGGCCGAATCGCAAAACAAACTTGTAGCCAATCAGCAATAAGGGGCGTGTCTACTCGTGATGTGGAGGAGAGCGCGTTCAGTGAATGGGACGGACATTAGCCGAGCCGAGCGACAGAAAGATAGAGATGGCGGATAAAAAAACAAAAGAGGAAAACGTCTGCGGAAAGATAAGGCAAGAAGTAGGACCCGTGTAAAATATTGGATCAGCTTTCCAGTGCTGGAGAGAACTCAAGGAGCGGAGGCCTGCGATCGG